TATTGCTAACGAGGTAAAAACAAATACAATAATCAATATCATTAGATCAGAATATGTTAATATCATTGTACTATGTAGTATATGGCTAAAGTAACTTCTAATAGTGTACATGTCCTAACCATATTGATGTAATGATATAGAAAACATGAATATTTTTTTTAAAACATTTAAATCATTTCATGAGTCACTGTTCATTGACTTAAAGTTCCTTGAGTATTGCACTTAGTTTGATTACAGTGAATGGAAATTATCATACTTAAAATAATATAGTACCATACTTAAAACACCAGAACCAAGGTCAGGAGAGGCCATATTCTACTTCCTCATGTTGGTTCAGGAAGAGGAGTTTACAATTTAAACAACCACACTGGGAAATGACAAATCCGACTAGAATATTATCACAAACTTAATTACAAGACTTCAATCCATTTTATTCCACTAGACAACTGACTACAAAGCAAGTTTTGATATCAAAAACCAACACAGTGATCAATGATAAAAACACATAGGTACAGTTTTTTGGAGGCCTCAATGTGGCCCAAATTCAAGAGAGGCTCTTATTTGAGAGTACCGTAGTATGTAAATGCTCGAATAAGCACTGCACCAAACCTGTTTTTTTTTTTTTCGCTAAGCGCTACTCTCGAATAAGCACTTGGTACTAAATTAAGAGTATATAAACATCGTGGTGTGTAATGAAACACTTGGAGAAACAGGGTTTTAAAAAGTGTCATAAAATGAATAAATAACTCAATGAAGACATAAGTAATTCTTTATAAATGTTTGTTTATGATGACGTAGGACCTATGATAGGCCTACCAAACTAAGGGAATATGTGAGATACTGTTATTAACATGGGAACCGGCATGGAAAGCGTTGCACTGAAGCATCCAAAAATTTTACAGGCGCCACGACGCATATTCAAGCATTTACAGTATGCTTATAACAAATGTTCAAAAACCAATAAAGTTGGTATTTCCCATGATGCATTATCTTAATTTTAAAAAATGATACCATGTACAGTTGTTTAGTACATGGCTATCCTTTATTATATCATTTTGTCTGTGAAAAATTATGATGGTGTCACAACAATAACAGTACAAAATATTAGGGCTTGTTTGGGGTCCTCACATTAGGATTACTTTTGATTAATGAGTATGGGTGATTATTTAAGAGGGGCAGATGAGAGGTGCTCATATGACCATTTATGGCATTTAAATTCAGTTAATTGGTTACTTGTAAACAGTTTTGCTGACTAATAAGGCCTAAAAAAATAATTGTTTGTTTGCCCTTTAATGCTTAAAATTGTATAAGAAGGGAGGGGGGGCGCAAAAAAGTTTCTTTTTTTTTTTCTCCTGTCACCAAAATTAACATATTAAATCGCAATGCTTGCCACTACGCCTGTCTCACTATTTGTTTTTCAAAGGGTATTCATCAGACTGAATAAAAATAACCCATAATCAAAAAGTAGAGTAAACAGTATAGTAGAACCCCTCATTTATGTACGGGACGGGCCCACAGGTAAAAATCATTCGTACGTAAAATCGGGGGTTGTGTGAAATTCCTATGAATTTACACTACCGATATGCTAGGCTGGGCTAGGCTAGGCCTGGACTGGAATTTTCTTAGATTGAAGCCAAAACTCCAAATTGTGCTTGAAAGAAATTCAAAATAACAATCATAAATGTACAGTACTATACATACTTGTTAATGTGTATACAAACTTTATTAATAGGCCTATATGACTTATCTTGTAGCTTACGAAGAAACACAGCCACGTGGGTGCCGCCACAGCGCGAGTAACGCACGCAACAACATTTTTCACTCGATCCATGGGCTTGTGGCTTCAAATAAATACCTGTATAGAATAACCCGGAAACCAGGGGTTCACTTATTAAAAGAAGAGCACTGATTGGCTGTAGGCACGGCGCTTGGACTTTATTTTTTAAATTTTTTCTTGTATCAGTACGATTGTTCTACAGTACCGCCATGAAATATTGCACTTTTACCTGCGCACAGGCTTCGTAGATACATCGTAGCCTGATATAAACAATCTAACCTGCGCGCAGGCTTCGTAGATACATCGTAGCCTGATATAAACAATCTAAGCAAGGCTACGCGAAGCGAACCTAAGAAGCAAAAGCATGTTGTTTATTTGTATGTGCAGAAAGACTGCTGTAGCTTACTGGAATAAACAATTGTTTGATAATTTGTGAATGGCAAACATGAGTTTAGACCGTTAATTTAAAGTATGGAGCTGTTTTTCAATAAGAAAAACGTACACTTGACTTCATGGGAGTCTCCTCTTGCACTCGCTGTCCACGACAGGAATTTGTTTGTACTGCTGTATTATTTTTTTTAATTAATTAGCCTAGGCCTAGCTTATTTTTTATTTACAATTATTTTACCTCATTTAAAATGTGAAAAGATTGTTCATCAAATAATATTTTGTAGTCTTGATTTAGTAAGATAAATAATAAATATAAAGGAGAATTAACGTCCGTTGGTTGTAAAATTACCGAATGTCACATGGAAAACCCAATGGAAAATAAGCCAGCATTAGACGTCAGAGTGCGCGCCAATCAAAACACAGTAAAGTGTGTTAAAGGTTAACCTCGTGGCAAATGTTGAAAAGCTGTGAGCAACAGTGAGTAAAAAACGGAGTAAATGCGGTCTAGCATGACTAACCTTAATTCGGCAAGGTATTGATTTCTATACTTCCATTTAGTATTGGATCGCTTTGCAGGTTGTTCTGCTTCAAATTACGGTAAACAATAAACAACGTGATCTGTAGAAATCGTAATTTGTACATGATTTGTCATCAGTATTATTTAAAAGAAGAAAATTCCTACTACCAGAAGAATAATAGATTAAAATTCTCCGAATTGGAAAGT